AAAAAAAAAAAAAAAAAAAAGAAAAAAAAAGAGAGAAAAAGAAAAAGAAAACATGAAAACGAAAGCTTCCGCGAACACTTATGTACAAGCGGCTTTCCTTCTTGTAATATCTAGTCTGTATATCATGGAGAAAGAATGGAATAATCACGCGAATAGTCACTTTTTACCTCGAAATGAAATTTCATTTTCGATTCGGAAACTTTCTCGCACGCTCCGCGAAACATTCCTGTTCGAGCAATGTTTCATGCGTTCATAATCGTAATTACGCACATATATACACATACACACACACACACATACATATAGACATACATATATATTTTTCATTCAAATTCCATTTAAATGAAGTCACTTTGTAATCGCTATTCTATTGTAATTGAAATGATGAAATCGATTTATTAAAAAATCAAGAAGAGATGAAACGCAAGAAGATGAAAAAAGATCAAGTATATTTCCGTAGAAATTGGCAAATATGATGACAAGAAAAATTGTTTCGATGATTGGTAATTAATTTTCTTTTCTTTTCTTTTTTTTTTTTTTTTTTTATATACAAGTTCGTTTATATTTTTTTCTTCTATTTCATTCCTCTTCCTTTTTTTTTCTCTTTTAACAATTGAATTATAAACGGTTGTACATCTTCGACTTGTCTTCTTTCGCGCATGAAATCATCTCGAACACGAATGTGACTGACACGTTCGTAACTTTTTTTTTATCTTTCGTCGCCTTGATGTAACACATTGTTCGAATTAAAAAGAAAAAAAAAAAAAAAAAAAAAAAAAAAGACAAAAGAAATGTTTTTTTTTTTTTTTTTTTTTTTGGAAAGAAACGTGGGCGGTCGAGAGCAAGGCGAGTATTAAATTAGCACAAATCGACACCTTGGCGATCAAAATCAATTTTCCGTGTTACGTTCGAGAGGATGAAAAGAAATTGAACCCACTTAGACGCTTACCAGGAGCACTTATAGTGTAAGAAATAATAAAAGTTAATAATAAAAAAAAAAATTGCTTTGACTCATGTTGATTGTTGTTGTTCTTTTTTTACTTTCATCACACGTCTCATCACCTATCGCGAGAAGAATTGAAGAATCATTATTTATATATATATATATATATATAAGACGAAGTGAAAAATATTAAATACAAATCGTTTCGTATCTAATTTGTGCAGAATTTTATTGTAATAAGATAGCTTTTTCTACACTGTTAGATTATGATTTTACGCTAAAGATTCGAGGGATCGTTTGAATCCTTTTTTTCGTTTTTGTTTCAGGATGCATCGAAAGGGCAAAAATACAGTTCTGCCTGCGATTGAAACGTATTTTTTTTTTTCTTTCTTTTTTTTTCTTTTTTCTTTTTTTTTTCTTTTTTCTCTTTTCTTTTTTTTTTTTTTTTCACCATAATTTCATAATACAACAAACAACACATGACACAAATTCATTTGAACTCGCAGGTAATTCAAGATTTTTTTTCAAAAGTATTATACACTTTTAATTCCCTTAAGGATCTAATCTAACGTATGAATCAAATGGAATTATAGAATTAAACGGAATAAAAAGTAAATTTCAATCGGTTGACAGAGATTTACGAACCGTTTTTAAGAGGAACGGTTTTAAGAGACGGAGATCACTAACCTCTCGGAAATAGTTAGTTGATCGCCCGCGAGAGCTCACACGCAGAGAAAAATCAGTATATCTTGAAGCGTTGCAGGCTGTGAAAAAATTTCGATCTCGATGCCATGGCAGTGACGATCCCGAGCATAGCTTGCCAACACGAGAGAGAGAAAGATTCTCGTGTGCATATCGTTTGTATCTACCGCTATACGTATACATATATATATACCTATACATGTATGTATGTATATATATATATATATATATGTATATGTATGTATATATATATATCGTATCGTTTAAACTCTGCATATTTTCATATATCTCATCAATTTATTATCTCTAGTAAATGTGAACGAAAAAAAGGGAAGAGAAAAGAAAGGGGAGAATTGACGGAGAAGCGCGTTGACCCGCAACACAGCATTTTTCTCTGAGAAAAAAAAATCTCTTCGAAACGAAGAAAATAAATTGACCGTTCATTCAAATTCACAAAAGGGTGCGTGTGTTTTTTTTTTTCTTTCTTTTTTTTTTATATAATATTTATCTCCACTCATTATCTCGCCATTCTTTCTCGTTTTAAAACTATTTTTTGTCGCTTAAAATCTACAAAGGGGCGCCAGCGCCCCGGGAATTGCACGCTCCTGAACGTGCGTATATCGTTTCTTTTTTTTTCTCTTTTTCTTTTTTTTTTTTTTTTTTTTTTTTCGTTTCATTTTTCTTTTACTTTCCCTACTCTGGATATAATTGATATATAACACTCGCGCTACTACTCGTACTGTTTTCATTACGCTTTTAATAATGTACTGCATTATCGTCGTAGCGTGATAACGTTATTGTTCGTCGTTGTTATCAAATGTATACAAGAAGTCGTATAGCACGACAATGACAAAACAATTGGAGAGGAAGGGAGAATGGATCTTTTTTTTCTAGATGTATCCCGTGAGGGATTCTGATCGAAAAATTAATAGAAATTTGAATAAACGTATTGTTATTCATTCAGAAGAGGATTATGTTTCTTTTTTTTTTTCTTTTTTTGTTTTTGGAAATTTTATGCTATGATATGAGGTTGTTTACAAAGATTGTTCAAAAAGTGAAAGTGCAACTGCAACAGATACTTTATATACATAGATCCTATATTCCCTTCTCTCTCTGTTGGTAAAAATGTGATAAACAGTGTTTATCCTCCGTTATAATAACAAATTGGTAATAGTACTTTCAACAGGGAAAAGAGAGTTGTATTGCCGTTGTATAAAACTGTAGTGTTCACGTTTAAAAATGTTTCCTTGTTTTCCAGGAAGAATTCCATCAACGAACAAATATTGCTAACAAACAATTCATCGAACGGACAACCTTATCGATCGATCTCGCGCGCCTTCCAATTGGATTTTGAATGATGATAAAAACGTGGTCGGGCGGCGAACGTTACAATAAGATCTCGATATATATATATTCGATATATATATATCGAAGTCGATCGAAAGGGATGTCGGACAAGAACCGTTCGTAAAAATTGCTAAAAAGTATCTAGCAATAGTAGTACAGACATTCATTTTCGAACGAATTATTGGACTCGTGTTATTAATCCAGCACATTAATGAGAATAAGATACACGATTTATCGTGTTTTTTTTTCTTTTTCCTCGTATCGTGAAAAGGAAAAAGGTTCGACGACGGATCGCCACCAATCCTTCAACAAACGAACGACACAGTCTAAACCGCTGTAAATAGTAGACAGAGGGCCACAAAGGGAAATATCTACGACAAGAGGTAGGAGATCTTCTCTTCTTCTTTTTTTTCTTCTTCTTCTTCTTCTTCTTCTATTCGTCGACCAGCTCCCAGAGCATGAGAGCTGCGTCGGTCCCACCGACGGTCACCACGTTCTGATCGTTGTAAAGAAATCTGGCACAAGCCACCAGAGAGCTGTACACCTTTTCCTCGATATACTCGGCCTTAGCACTGGTGCACGGATACCTGAAAAGCCTCAGGTAGCCTTCCGCGTCGCCGCTCACCAACATGTCGTGCGCCGCCGATCGACTCGACGTCGTTAAAACGGTCGTTAACGGGTAATAACGATTATTCCACATTCCTGCGTCGAGAACGATAAAGAATTATTTCACCTCTCTCTCTCTCTCTCTCTCTCTCTCTCTCTCTCTCTCTCTCTCTCTCTCTCTGTGTGTGTGTGTGTGTGTGTGTGTGTGTGTGTGTGTGTGTGTGTGTGTGTGTGTGTGTGTGTGTGAAATTTTATAACGGTTCGTTTTTTTTCTGTTATGTAGCACGTTCACACTTGTTCGTCCACACTTACCGGACACCATGTATCCAACCATGCAATTGTGGGTATACCATTTCACGTCCTTCATCACCAACGGACTCTTTTCGGATGACAACGCTTTCACGTCCCCTGAGAAATTTATTATTATTACTATTATTATTATTATTGTTATTGTTACTGTTATTATTATTGTTATTATTATTATTGTTATTATTATTATTATTATATTTTTTTTATGTTATTGCATCGAGGAGAATATCGAGAATTGATTGATCTCGTTTGTTGAAACGTGAAAGAAAGAAAGAAAGAAAGAAAAAGGGAAAAAGTTACAAAATACTAAATCGTAGTCCTGGGTAACCGTTTGAAGGAATCTGCTGTCGGAGCTCCAGTCGAGCTGGACCAACGGTTGCGTCCCGCGGATTTTGTTGCTCTTCTTGTACGAGAATCCGTCTCTGGACACTCTGAACAGATACACGCTACCGTTCTGAGAGCCCATCGCAACGATTTCACCCGCTGAACAAACAAAAGTGAGGTTATGTTATAATTTATGATCGACGTAAGAAATAAAGAATAAATCGTATGTTTTATGTTTTACTTGGATTGTAGCCAATGCACGACAAGGGCGAGCCGCAGACCCTGAGGGTTGCCACAGCCGCCCCTGTATCAGCGGCAAGCACCAAAAGATGACCTTCCGAAGAGCCGGCAGCAAGAGCGACCCCGAAAGGATGGAAAGCTATGCAAATACACTCGAAACCGACCTAAGAAGGAAAAGAAGAACAAGAATAAGAAAAAGAAGAAGAAGAAGAAGAAGAGGAAGAACAAGAAGAAGAAAAAGAAAAAGAAAAAGAGGAAGAAGAAAAAAAAGAAAAAAGAAAAAGAAAAGGAGGAAGAAGAAGAAAAAGAAGAGGAGAAAGAAGAGAAAAAAGAAGAGGAGAAAGAAAAAGAAAAAGAAGAGGAAGAGGAAGGAGAAGAAAAAGAAAAGGAAAAAGAAAAAGAGGAAGAAGAAGAAGAAGAGGAGGAAGAAGAAGAAAAAAAACAGGAGGAGAAAGAAGAAGAAAAAGAAAAAGAGGAAGAAGACAAAGAAAAAGAAAAAGAAGAGGAGGAAGAAAAAGAAAAAGAGGACGAAGAAGAAGAAAAAGAAAAGGAAAAAGAAAAAGAAAAAGAAGAGGAGAAAGAAGAAGAAAAAGAAAAAGAGGAAGAAGAAAAAGAAGAAGAGAAAGAAGAAGAAAAAGAACAGGAGGAGAAAGAAGAAGAAAAAGAAGAGGAGAAAGAAGAAGAAAAACAAAAAAGAGGAAGNAAGAAGAAGAAAAAGAACAGGAGGAGAAAGAAGAAGAAAAAGAACAGGAGGAGAAAGAAAAAGAAAAAGAAGAGGAGAAAGAAAAAGAAAAAGAAGAGGAGAAAGAAGAAGAAAAAGAAGAGGAGAAAGAAGAAGAAAAATAAAGAGGAAGAAGAAAAAGAAGAGGAGAAAGAAGAAGAAAAAGAAGAGAAGGAGGAGAAATTTTGGTACCTGAGTCGTCCAGAGGAGTTTGTGCCTGCGCCAAAGAGCGATATTCTTGTCGTGGCCGGCGGTGGCGAACACCTCGTCGTCAGGGTGAACAGCGAGGCCCCACAACTGTCTCCCATGCCCGAACACGACCTGGTTGAACCTTCTCTGAAGGGATCCTTCCAAAATATTGTTTCTTGTCGTGCCCACGTAAATATTCCCATCGTTCCTCCCAGGCCTCTGGGGATAGATGCTGCGCACACCCCCAACCGCCTCCGGCAACTGCAACGTCCGCAGTTAATCCAATTTAACACCACCGACACTTTCGATTCCTATGGATCTATTTTATACACGCACACACACACACACACACACACACACACACACAGTCGCGCGTACTTTCGTATCCGTGATACGTTTGTAATTCTGCAGGGAATCCCAGGCGGCGATCTTCCGGTCCTTCTCACCGCCGGAGAGCAACGTCCCCTCCGACAGCATGACGAGGGAGCTGATACCTTTGTTGTGCGCCTCGAATTCCATACGGACGAAGTAAGCGCCATCAGCGTCCACCGAGTAGACGGTGATGAAACCGTCGCTGTCCGCTGTCACAACATCCCCGTCCTGTTCAAATTGGATGCTGGTCACGTGCGTGCGGGACGGCTTAAACGGAGAGGGAGAGAGAGAAAGAGAGAGAGAGATAGATAGATAGATAGATAGATAGAGAGATAGATAGAGAAAGAGAGAGAGAGAGAGAGGGGGAGAAAGAGAGACAAGAGAATCGATGAGATAATTCCGTGTATTGGAAAAAAAAAAAAGAACGTGACGTTTATGATTAACTTACAGGTTTGATGATATCCGTCCTCTCGAAGAAACCGTCTTTACGCCTGTTCCAAAACGTCAAGTGGCCCCGACCGTGAGTGATCAGAAGGTTGTCGTCGAGGGGATGGAAAGCTGCCCCCGTCAAATCCTCCTGCATCGTCTGCGACAATTGTGACAACTGTTAACTATGTCGTTCTATGAACGATAAAGATGATTGGAGGGGAAAAAAGCTTACCGCCACTTTACCCAACAAATGGCCCCACTGCCATTGCCACACGGAGAGTATCGCCTCTCTACCAGCGTCGACCGCTAACACGTAACTACCCCCGTTCTGTAAACAAATGTGAATTATTATTCGAAAATTTTTCTCCTCGATGTATTATTATATTATTTCTTGAAATTCTCTCGCGAGTAATATGAATAATAATTCTTTTTTTTTTTTTTTTTTACCAGCTGCGAGAACGCTAAAGCGGAGACGCCCATCTGGAACTCGGTCATTCCGAACACGTACAGCGTGAGCAAAGTCTCTGTTGACCATATGCGGACGTGAGGTTGCGCTTTTCTGTGCCTCCCGGCTTTTTGCCCAGACGCAACGAGTTCTCTGCTCGGATGAACCTGTGTATACCACACGCATCGAACGAACAAACGTTATTATAATCGTTTTCCTTCCCTTCTTTCAACATACACTTACCATAATAATAAGTATTCTTTATAATAACTTTATAAAGAATATTTTTATATTTTATAATATCTTTATAATAAATATTCTTTATAATATCTTTATGAAGAATATTTTTATATATATTTTACAGTATCTTTACAATACACAATCTTTATAAAGAATATTTTATATATTTTATAGTATCTTTACAATAAAATATCATTTCTTTATTAAGATTCTTTCTTTCTCTAATTCAAAGCTCTCCCAACAACATGGATATGGTACTATATTATACAATCTTTATAAAGAATATTTTTATATATATTTTATAGTATCTTTATAATATACAATCTTTATAATAACTTTATAAATATTTACAAGATAAATATTTAGAAAATATCTACATTTTTATATTTATATATTTTATAGTATCTTTACAATAAATATTCTTTATAATATCTTTATGAAGAATATTTTTATATTTTATAGTATCTTTACAATAAATATTCTTTATAATATCTTTATAAAGAATATTTTATATATTTTATAGTATCTTTACAATAAAATATCATTTCTTTATTAAGATTCTTTCTTTCTCTAATTCAAAGCTCTCTCAACAACATGGATATGATACTATACTATATAATCTTTATAAAGAATATTTTTATATATATTTTACAGTACCTTTACAATAAATATTCTTTATAATATCTTTATAAAAAATATTTTTATATTTATATATTTTATAGTATTCTTTATAATATCTTTATGAAGAATATTTTTATATATATTTTACAGTATCTTTACAATACACAATCTTTATAAAGAATATTTTTATATATATTTTATAGTATCTTTACAATATACAATCTTTATAATAACTTTATAAATATTTAGAAGATAAATATTTAGAAAATATCTATATTTTTATATATTTTATAGTATTTATATATTTTATAGTATCTTTACAATAAATATTCTTTATAATATCTTTATAAAGAATATTTTATATATTTTATAGTATCTTTACCATAAAATATCACTTTATTAAGATTCTTTCTTTCTGTAATTCAAAGCTCTCCCATGGACAACATGATACTATACTATACCTCCATGCATGTGATATCCTCCGTATGGCCGACATAGTGCCGTTGTGCATTTTCCTCTCGGTCGAAGAGAACAGCCACGGCAGCGACGTAGTACAACAATTCACCGCTAGGCAATACCCAGAGGTTTCGCCGGGTATCGGTGCCCCGATAACCGTAAACCCACTCGAGTTGCAGCTTCTTATCGGGGGGAGAATTGTCTACGGGCGGCAGGTGGGAGGGGGGATAGAACGATCTTCTCAACCCTCGAATGGTCACTCTTGCTGGCTCGTCCCTCAACACCTCCACCACGCTGTAATCTGTTATTATATAACAACACGTTGCAAAGTACAATTAACAATTAACAACGATTATAATTAATAATAAATATAATTAATAATTAGATAATTAAAGAAGAGATAATTAAGAATGAAGATAAATGAGAAGATATATATGTATATATATATATGTATATATAGAACCGTTTACTCGGACGACGTCTGAGTCAGGGGCGTACAAAGCGCGGGGCCTGCTTTTGCTACGGGCGCGCCTTTGGCGACCGATGTCCTCGACCACTGTAGACGGTCCTCGCGATCTCGACCTCCTCGCCGGGGACGCTGACACGCCGCCCACCATGCTCATCCCCGACCCGGTACCCAGATAAAATGTGTCCACGTCGGCGAATTCGTTCCTCAACTGGGAGAAACTTCTTACCTGTCGATACCAGTTTTATTAATTGTATTATCACTTATATTGATATTCGATTTATGAATGAATATATTTTTCAGGTGTTTGGAGGGGTATACTCATCCGTGACGTGTGTATATATATATACATATATTATACGAGGTGGTAAATATAAGGAGAGGGTAAATGCTCGGGGTAAGGAAGAAAATTGGTCGATTTGAAATTCATATTCGCATTTCCCTCGCGACCCAGTTTACACGACCCAATATTTACAATCGTGCGATCCATAAAAGAATAATAACAGGGATAATTTTCTTCGTATCGAAAATACGAATTTTGTTTCCGTTTCTTTTTTTTTTTTTTTTTTTATCTAGGAATATCATTCCTAGAGGAATTAATGATCCAACGAATGTGGTGATGGTGAAAATTTCGAATAATTATCGTCACCTCTCTCCCCCCTCCCCGCCCTCCTTCCTCCCACTATCGCATGCATATTTATGGACAAACATTATTCAAGCGGATTTTATAAGCCGAGCCAATGTCTTCGATTTGCATAAATCGCTGATAAACTTTTCGACTCGCCCACGTTTCACGTGGTTATTCACGAAACCGTGGGCCAATCGATCGATCTCACCGTACGTCACCACGTCCACCAATTTTCAAAACGAATTATCAATATTCATATATTTGGTATTTCACGTATATATCATGGAAAAAAATTATTATTCATAGCCTCACCTCTTGACCTGAAACCGTGAACATCCTCTTGGCCCCGTTCATCTTCAACACTTGTCCAAGGTCTTCCAACACCTCCTCGAATGGTTGCGAGGTGCGAAGGTTCAACAAAACTCGACACTGACGTTTCGATTAAATTTATATATGAGAATATTATACAATCATATATATATATATATATTTCTTTTTAACCGTAAATATCCCTCCTTTTTACCTGCACGGTATGGTCGTGGTTGTTAACGATTCGTATGACGCGTCCCGAGGAAGGTTTTCCACCGCCAGGAGGTGGTGCCTCGTCGGTGATGGAAGCCTTCCTGCCGAGGCTTGCCACTGCCGGCGGCCTGCTCTGCCATCCACCCGCTCCCCCGCCTCTGCTACCTCCTCCGCCTGTCGGGCTCGTGTACCAGGTGTTGCTCTTCTTCCCGTAGCTGGCCGGCTATTTATATATCATTATTTATTATATATTATTATTATTATTATTATCATTATTATATAATAATAATAGTAATATATAATAATATAATATATAATAATTCATCGTTAAATGGAATGATATAGGCAAGTTACGATATAACGCTTTTCTATATTCGAATATAGAATATATATATATATATATATATATGTTTATTAATTGTTTCAGAGGTAGGACCTGCAGCATGTCGGCCGGCAGCGATATGACTTCGAAGGAGTCGCTCATCAACACGACGAAACTGTCGCAATCCTCCAGGAATTTTGGGCCGCGGGAGTCGAGGTCAGAGTCGCTGTACGAGTCCGATTTCTCCCCGTAAGCGGCGTAGTCCGGCTCCAAGTCCGAACGGGACGAGGAACTTGCCGACTCAATGGTGGACCTGTATCACTTTCGTGCGGCCTCGAAACAGGGACGGCAACGGGACGCGGTTCCCCCCGTTTCGATTAAGACGATTAAATTTTTATTGTGCCTCGTCTCCCATTATTTCATCACTTTCGTCGCACTTCTTTTTCTCTGACAACGGCAATTATTTTCCTCAATTATTGTACAGTTGAAGAAGAGGACAGAATATTTTTTATTTTTTTTTTTTTTTTATTTTTAGATGATTTTTGATTATTTGTTCAACCGCGCAGAATTGGCAATCTCTCGTTTGAGAGAGACAGAGAGAGAGAGAGAAAGAGAGAACCGGAAAGCTTGTGTAGACAAGGAGTAGCTCTCGTTTCGGAACGAGAAGAACGTCTCACGACAGTGCAACCGCGACTGTGTTCGATGGACAACTGGAGGCGGGGTATTGGGTTGGAGAACCAGCCCCCTGGCTGCAACATCCCCTACCCTCCCTCTCCGCTTTCGAGGAGAGCCATCGTGTCTCAAGGCCAAACCAGCCAGCCCATTTCATATGTATAGCGCGACACGTAAGCTATTGGTCAAAAGTTTGGAATTTCGTCGAAATCAATGGAGCAGGAAATTCAATGATTTTGAATATTGGAATTTTGGGATTAAAATTTTCATGTTCTAATTGTTTTTATGGATCTTGCACATCCATAAGGTAATGCTCGACAAGTACACTATTTTTTTCCTTTTTATCTTCATCTCATATATATATATATATATATATATATGTATATATATATATATGTATGTGTGTGTGAAATGCTTTATGTAACAAGGTTCTGCATACACATTAATTTTCTTAATATAGTTTCAGCATTTTGATGTGGTTTCTTCCATGGATAAAGTGATAGCAAATTACACAAATGGACAATTGAATGAAAGGATTGATGGACATGTGTTAATCAGGATAGAAGATAAGATTGAGAGGGAGATTATTTTTTTTTTTTCATGGAACTGGTTCGACCTCTTCGTGGAAAGTAGTATTACGTTGGATTGATCATACCTGTTCACTGTAAAGGGTCAATATTCAAAATAAAGCAGGGAGGTGGGAAAAAGAAATATCTTGTAACGAGGCTAATGGCTTCCAATAAACTTATGAATTCAAAACACGCACACTGTAGCCGGCAGAATGCCAGAGATTCGATGACCTTGCAATAATTTGCTATACTTGCAGATCTTTCCACACTTATCAATGACGAGTAATAATAATTTTATAAAATCAAACGTTTGCCATATAGAATCATTTCTGTTATGGTATCCGATTTTTTTTTTTTTAAATTAAATTAAATTGAACGAGAGATTCCTCATTGAAGGGTAGCCTCGGATCGACCAATACCAGCTCATCCTCGTGCAGTTGCAATGCGATGCCAGCTTTGATGGGATTGGTATGATAATGTGAGCATAGATTAACACAGGGTGAAGGTCAAACGACACTCTCAGACTCACACAAGTCGAGCAACCCTTCCGGTAATGCACCCCCTGTGACGTAAGTTTAACCCTTACTCCGTGTTTTTCAAGCCTTTCTTTTTATTGCCTTATATATTAAATAAAGAAGATAAATAGTTCGAAAGGTGAATACGTTTAAAAATTTCAGAAGGGTGGGATCGAAGACAATTCGAGCTCGACATTGTGAGTGAGACAATTCTTCTTAATGGACTCGAGGCACGAGTTTCCAGAGAAGATAGAACGTCAATTTTTTCTTTTTCTTTTTTCTTTTTTTTCCTGTATATACGAAATAACTTCGAATCGAGAAGTAAATGGATCCCATTCAATTGAATTAAAAATCAGAAAAAGTAACAACTGTCATTCATTCTGACATAACATTGAAAATTATTATTCAAAGGTTATTTTAATAAAGCAATATTGGTGTAATTTTCACCTATGAATATTTTTCATATCGAATCCATTAAATTTCTGTTCAAGGATCTCTTTGTCGTAAGAGCCTTTCGCCTCTTAACTCGTGACTTACATCAACGGCAATGCCAGAAACGATCAACTTGGTTCCTGCAATCTGATCAACCGCCTGAACAAGCCAAGAAATCACGAATCTAGAATCCCTTTAATCAAAATTATCACGAGAACGGCAAAGCCCACGAAAACTTTCTATTAATAAATCACGAGCTAAAAATACAACCCTGTCCACCCACGTCATAGGATATATATATATATATAATGCACTTTATATAATGCAATTTAAGGGAAGACATATTTCTTTCCCCCCTCCCAATGAAATCTAGAAATACAAATATAAAAATATGATATCGGAAATATAATGTAGTCATAAAAATGGGGCATCTTGCAAGATTTGGATAAATGTAAAAATATAAATTGGAAGAAGTGGAAAAGAATAGAAGAAGAAAAAAAAAAGAGAAGAAGAAAGAAGAAAGTCCATTCACGAGAAGAGGTGCGGCTTTGTTATTTAATTTATGAGCATTCTCCCTATATAAATTACGATTCGCGGAACTGGCCTCGCAGCACGTGTTGGTCATCATATGAATATACACGTTTGTTGTGCAAGGCCAAGGTCACGGTGCAACAATCTTCCGGCTGGTTGGTACGTGATCGAATGCAAGGCGCAACAAAAGTACGCGTGGGTGCACCCTCTTGGGTTCACCATGGGTGCTACAACCCTTAACCTTTTCACGCATTTACTCATTCGGTCATGCACCCCCCTTATGTTGACTCAACCTTGTCGGCGCAACAACTCGTATGATATTTATTTATTAAATCCCCATTTTTCCCCATAATTCATTATGTATAAAAGAAGGGAGATTTTCTTATTTAATTTCTTTTTTTTTTTTCTATATAACTTTTATTACCCTTTTAATTTCAATAATTTATCACGATGTCGTCTTTTCCACGAGAATTAAAATTTTCTTTCTTGTACAAGTTGGAATGGATTATTACAACCAGTAAGGTGAATATCCTCGTTGAACGTTTACCTTGATGATGATAAGGTAAGGATCGAGACCGTCCAAAGAACTCGGTGTACACCAACCCTTAACCTTTTGCGGCAGGTCACTCGGTATAAATTATCATCTGTGCACGGATTCGAGTGATTTAACACGCGACCGAACCGGTTTAATTAGAAAGAAAGGGTAATTATCATTTTCGGTACGTTGTTCACCTTCCTTCCTTTTTTTTTTTTTTTTTTTTTTTTTTTTTTTTCTATTGCGACGTAAATTTATATCGCGAGAGAAAGAGAAAAATGTATATTTGCGACACAAGGTGTACAACGGCGCATATACATTTAATTGGCCAAAGTGATAAGGCGCCAGTTGCACCGATAAGCACCGATTAATTCGACCGGTCCAGTTAACATTTTTCTTACTTTCCTTCCTTATCACGCGATCTTTAGCGCAACCACTGATCTTTCGAGTATGATTTCGTTATTAGTTTCGTGCAAGATAGATGTTGATATAAGAATTATTTATTATATAAAGTGTAAAAGTCTTTCGTGCGTTAAGAATTAACGAACATACGTATTTTTCGTATATCACGTTGGATTTAAAACACGATGCATATAATAAAAAATATAGAAATCATCGTTGAATCGTCATTGAACGAATACAATTTGTTAATACGAAGTTCCTTCCTCCTATTTTATTTGATTTAAATTCCAATTTAAATCACTATAGAAAGTGAATTATTCTTCAACTTGGGATCCAAAAACTAAGGTTAGGTTTATTAAGGTTTAAGAAAAAGAAATTCCTTTCCTGAGTAAAAAAAAACGTAATAAAGAATCGCCTTTATTTTTGTATCTTTCCACGTTTAGATTAGAAATCAGGCGATGTCGCTTATGCATGCAAGAAGAAGTTGAAATCCCGTATATCGGCATATATTACAGAAGGTGCGTGACGAGCGAGCGAGTAGAAAGGGGGAGAGGGGGGGGGAAGTGTAAAACACAGGGTAGTTGTCCTGCGAACGTTCTGCGACAAGCGTAGCAGCCAAGCGGTCTGGTTAAAAGGCAACGAATGCCATACAGACGGGATGCCGCAGTGATTTACATATCGGGGTATATACACGGTATTCACGTGTGGAGAAAACGTGTGTGGAGTTTGTAGTACGCACAGGAGGAGGGAGGAACGGGAGGGAGGGTAGGATCGGGTAGGTAGGTTTTCCCGAAACACTCTACTCTCTCTCTCTCTCTATCTATCTATCTATCTCTCTAATCGATCCTTACCGAAATTCATTTGTTTCGAATTCAAACCTCATACATATTCAGCGTGACAACCGGCGATAAATGATCGCCGTGGATTACACAATGCGAAGCAGGGAAACACGAATCTGCGTATTTCGTGACAGATGGGAGCTTGAACGGGAAAGAAGAGAGAAAGAAAGTAAAAGGTGACGTTTTTCAATTCCTCTCGTTCGATTCCGCGTGGGATAAATAATAATATTTTTAATTTTAAGAATTTTGTTACTTTATTATATTCGATCTTTTAGTTTTTTACGAAATTTCTGATTCTGATTCGACGACGAGAGAGGGCAGGAGTCTCGATGGAAAATTTTGCTCACTAGCGAACTCTATAGTCTCGGTTTTGGGATCAGATCGAATGGCCGCGTAATTAACTTCGATAACTTCGAGTATATCGCTCACAGGATCGACGTAATAATGTCAATTAAAGTGGATTGCCGTCAGTCATGCAGCTCGAAGTAAGAAGAACGGAAAACAACAAGCATCTAAGAAAAAAAAATTGGAACGAGAATATCGAAAAAATTTACGAGCTTAAAAGGGATTTATCGTCGCAAATATTTTCCATCCACCTTTCTCGCTTCCCTTCCGTTCCCCTTCGCCGAGCACATGCAATTAATCTGCAACCAAGCATGCAATACGTTGGTCGGCTCAAAAACCGATAAGAAGAAAATGGCGATATTTGGTTCACCGAGATTATTTATCGAAACCCTTTTTTCTTTCCTGTCATGCGCTCCTTGAATTATTCTCGCGTGAAACGTTAAAAAGAAAAAGAAAAAGAAAAAGAAACGCAACGACGATCGCGTTTTATGTAACAACGATTTTAAGAAAGGTATTCTTCGTAATTCCGTGATGTATGTAGGCCAGATACGTGCAAGTTTCTGTCTGCCGTTCGAGTTCGTGACATATCACGTTGGAGGGTGGCTGACACGAATTTTAGACCACTCGACAATTATTTCTTACGTGAACGTAAGTTAGCTATAATATCGTTTATGAACTTACAGAGAACGTAAAAACGTGTGCACAGTCGGTAAGTGTAACCGACAGGAGGAGGGGAGAAAGAAAAGAGGACTCGTTATCGCGGCGAAGTCAGGCGCGATATGAAAATGAAGAACAAAGTTGGAACGTGCGTGACGGATCGTCCCCACGTTTAACATGCCATAGGTGATTAAAAAAGAAACAATCGCTGGCGATCGTTCAGCCGCACGTGAAACACTGCTTGAAAGACAGGTATATATTGGTTTTTATTGCTAACTTATATGACGACCGTGGAATTAATCACAGTACAATCAATAATATAAAAAACGGTGTATAATTCTAGATAGAAATCTTTGTAATGATAAGGCAAACTAATAACGTAACTTATATTTTTTTTAGAAAAAAGAAAAAGTTTAATCTTTGTAATTTGTAATTTGATACGTTATTTACTTTTTAATGACTAGGCTAAATAATTGGGGAGCAAAAAATAAATGAAAGTAAAAGGTTGGAGAGAAAACAAAAAAATAAAAAACGTTTGCGAATAATACTGCACACAGAGACTGAGCAACGGTTAAGCAGTGACGGAGACATCGATGCCCGGATTGGTCATTTGTTCCACGTCACTGTCACGTGTCCAAATCTTTCGATCGCTCGATCACTCGATATATCGATGGCATCGAGTTTCGATACAAACGCTTGTCACGTGTGTATATTACGTACGTATTGCTACGGGGAGTTTGCAGTAGTAATAAACTGTTACTTCCGACCGCAGTAGTAACGCCGTTGCGAGAGACGGTCAGAACATATAATTGATTGCATTAACTCACAGCCGGCTATAATCGACGCTATATCTTCCTCGCCGCTTCCATTATCCCGAAACATTAATTTTTCATAGTGCCATACCTCTTTATTCTGTGCCATTATTTCGTTACAATTTGCGAGTGCAATCGTATAAATTACTTAAATCGTAACCGTCATTGCTCCCACCGTTTAAATATTTACATCGTTACGTTTTGCAGGGAAAAGGAGTGAAATTTTGTCAGTTTGCCTGCCGTCAAGAATCCAAACGACGGAACGCAGTTTGTGAATTGTCCGTGTGAGAACCTGTTTATTGATCCCTTGCGGGGCTGACCAACGGTCAATGAGATACGGTCTCTCTCCCTTGCTACCTGCCCTACGACTCGAGAGCCCTGCATCGGTCTCCTTAACGGAAATACGAACCTATTCTCCCTCCCCACCATTAACCCTCACGCTACATCGTGATTCATGCGTCTTCAGAGAAATTACACACACACATATATATATATGTATTCTTATATTATATATATTATTATATTATATTATATTATACATTATATATATATTCAAAGAATTAAAAAAGAATTGATTAAATTTTACAGAGAAGATCTAATAAGGATAGAAAATTGTATACACACCCAGAAAGGGGAATCAACGAACAAATTATCCAAATTATCCAACCCGGTTTTTAATCTACCAACCAAGATCAGAAGAGGGATAAGTTTTTTTGGCGTACAAGTAAATTGAAGTCATGAACGAGGTGAAGAAACCGAGGAATCCATTTTAAAGATACAATCGTTATACGAAGAAACGATGTATCGGTAATTTGGAGGAGGAGGATGCGAGTGTGCAGACGAGTGGGAGACGATAATGAGCAAAATATATAGGATATGCGTACTGTGAGCGAGAGAGAGAGAGAATGGAAACAGAAGAGGGTGGACTGGTGCGCAACCGCAAACCGCCAATTGGCCAGCCCTCTTTTCACCCCTCTCTCTGGCCAACCCTGTAGCGACACTTGCTCCCACTCTTCTTGCTCCACCGATACGCTCCCATCCCTACCACGAAATCGCGGATTCACATACACGAGACGTCCATCTTCCGTGCCACGTGGCTTTGGTAAACAATGGTCCAATTACACTGACATCAGAAATTCCACGATTCCGCGTTAAACAACATCGCGATATCGATCATATATCCCTTTATATTTCCCTTTCAATTTTAATATATAGTATTTGTCGTATTAAATTAATCTTAATCATCATTGATCAAATCTATCTCTCTTGAGATATACACGGGTCAAGGTAAGCCCTTATCATTCCATTCGGATATTATTGGTGGCGAGAATATATAATATAGGATATATGGGTCATGGGTGTGTGATTCTGGATCGGCATGCAAATAGGATTATATGTATATATATATATATATACAAGCTTTGACCACTTTGCCGGATTAAGGGTTGACCTGACACGAGACCACGATCGAAATAACGGGATCGTACACAAGGCGGGAAGGTAGAAACTGCGATGATATTGTATATCTGATATATATGTATATATATATATATATATATATATAAGGCTGGTCACACCTTAAAAGTTGGAAATCAGATTGGGGCGTGGGCCAGCCCTCGTGACGCAACGATAAACGATATCCAATTCTTCTTATCGGCACCTTCATAAAAATAATGAGAACACCCTCCAGGTGAATCGAACCGAAAGGTTTTCCCGTTAATTGGATCGTTTTTTTTCCAATCCACTCCTTTTTTTCTTTTTAAAATAACTTGTACATCTTGCGATCCACGTGTTGTGATAATTGATAAGGTAAAGTGAAATAATAATTTCATATAATACTCAGAAATAATTATTTCTCTTACTTCTTTTCTCTCTCTCTCTCTCTTTTTTTTTTTTCTTTTTCTTTTCAGGTAGATTGATGTTGCGTGCGGCCTTCTTAAACATCTGATCTGGGCCAGATACACACAAAAGTATTGTCAAGAACAATACAATGCGGTTTTGTTAATAAATCGCTTTAATCAGCTTATTTAAACCGCTCCCCTTTTGCTTAACTCCTTATAAATTGATATTATATTCATACGTATGCGCTATTAATTGTATGTATGTCACACACGCGGCAACAGCGCATTCATTTGTGGAGGTACGCGTTTGTGGAAAATGGCGTTACTTTCCTCGCAGTGCACAGGTTGTTGTAGCTCATGAATATTAAGTATACGCGTGTACGTGTGCATATACATCTCTCTGGTTCTCGTTTTAATTATACGACGACCACTCCCAAGTGAAAGATATTTACTTTTCGCAAGTCCTTGCTGAATTATCGCCGGCCTCTCTAATGAGATTGGCTCAATAGGAGAGGGGGCAGTTGTTACCATACCATACCGAGAGATTCGATCTACACACACATACACACACACGCGACGCCTTAAGGACCTTATTTCTTCTTCGTGCAATGTATCATAGATCGAACGACCCACTTTTCCAGTTAAACAATCTTTCCTTTTTCCCCTAATCTTAAACACCATAATATTTTTTTTTTTTTCGTCGATGGCGTTGCCAACAATTTTCAACAAGGTTTAAGATTTTATCTGAGCGTGTATTATCGATATTTATAAATAGAAACCACTCTCTCGCTCACCTTGAACGTTTTGTAGCTGGATACGACGTACGAGGCGCCGTCCTCGAGCTCGTCCAGGGTGAGCTTCCTGTCACCGTCCATGGAGAAGATGTGTCGCGCCCCTCTCGGGAGATCCATCCGCAGGGACAGCCTGTCCAGCAACGCCTCCAAGGAGCCGATGTCCCTTCCCGGTTTGAACCTTGGTACAAGAATATATATTTATATATTTATATATACTTTCAAATCATCGTCGTCGTATCTTCGTACGTAACAATAAGAATTACAAAATTCTTTTTAGTTTTACAAAAGCTTTCGAGACTCGTTGATGAAACGGAATCGAAATCGAAACGACGTTGATATAGACAAGTTTCACAGTGGATCCCATTCATATCGGGCCAAAATCAAGGTCGAAAGGGTGGAGAGTCCGCCACCTGCAGGTGCAAGGGTGAGCGAAAGAAAGATCTGAAGGTAAAGAGAAAGAGAGAAAGAAAAGAAGAGGAGGAAGAAAGGTTACTTAGGGGGGTTATTTACCTGAACTCGATACCAGGAAAATATGGGTCGCCATTTTTATAGAACGTGACTCTCCTGGCTCTCCAATAACCGAGGTTGTTGTATCTAGCGGGAGCCGGCTCGTGTCGGCTCTTAGGCCTGGTTAGCTCCGGCTGCTCCGGAGGCGGCATGCGGGGACTGGAGGGTCTGCTCTGCCTCCAAAAGCCGGCCATGCCGCCTCCACCCCCACCATCGCTCGCCACAACACCGCCACCGACCGCCTCCTGCGCCGTTCCACCCTCCACTTCCTCCTCCTCCTCCTCCTCCTCGTCCTCCTCCTCCTCCTCCTCCTGCTCCTCCTCCTCGTCGCTGCCTCGAGCGCCTCCACCAGGCATCGTCGAAGCCTCCGCGGGCGCCGTGGACACCGCCGCCCCTACTACACCGCTAGGTGTAGTTACTGTAGCTGAACCGGTTGATTCCTTTCCAGAGTTCTCGTTCTTCACCTCTCCCTCCTGCCCCTCCTTATTCATTACACCTGTTCATAAAAGGGAATGTAGTGAATTTTCTTCCCCCTTCTCTTCTGTTAATAATCATTTCAATTGAAATTTTCTCTTTCCAACGTCTCCTCTTTTAAAAATCCTACTTTTAGCTTCATATATATTTTCCTTTTATCTCTGTTTAATTTATAACGTTATAATTATAATTTATGGCTTCATGAATTTCAAGCAGAGCAAGATAAGATTAATCTTCCATCTGTTTCAGAAATATTTTCTTCAATTGAAACAAATTTTGAAAGACAATTTCAATTTTCTCTTTCCAACGTCTCCTCTTTTAAAAATCTTTTAGCTTCATATATATTTTCCTTTTATCTCTGTTTAATTTATAACATTATAATTATAATTATAATTCATGAATTTCAAGCAGATAAGATTAATAAGATTAATAAGATTAATCTTTCATCTGTTTCAGAAATATTTTCTACCCTTCTCTATTGTTAATATAATAATCATTTCAATTGAAACAAATTTTGAAAGAGAATTTTCCCTTTCCAACGTCTCCTTTTTCAAAAATCTTGTTTTTAACTTCATATATATATATATATATATATATATATTTTCCTTTTATCTCTGTTTAATTTACAACGTTATAATTATAATTTATGGTTTCATGAATTTCAAGCAGAGCAAGATAAGATTAATCTTTCATCTGTTTCAGAAACAGGGATCATATTTTCTTCCCCCTTCTCTTCTGTTAATATTCATTTCAATTGAAACAAACTTTGAAAGAGAATTTTCCCTTTCCAACATCTCCTCTTTTAAAAATCCTACTTTTAATATATACATTTTCCTTTTATCTCTGTTTAATTTATAACATTATAATTATAATTTATGGCTTCATGAATTTTAAGTAGAGCAAGATAAAATTAATCTTCCATCTGTTTCAGAAACGGGGTATTTACAGGTCATAAGAGGTATACCGTCTTTTTAACCCTCTTTTGCACTCCAGGCCTTCGCTCGGTCGAACCAGCAACTCCAGACTCAGGCTCAAAAGAGCCTGAGTAGTAAAGAGCTTAGGAAACGATATATGAAACTATTTATGAAAAACTATTTATTAAACTATATATTATTTATATATATATATATTTAACTATTTATGAAACGATACTCTAAAAAATCAAACATAAATAAATATTGTCGTCGTTCAAGTTGCCAATCCTCGACAAGAGTGGAGAGTCATCGCTGGAGTCAACTCAAGTGGTGACCGAGAGTCACCATTGGAGAGCAAAGGGTTAATAAGGATGATCTGTCTGATGCGAATCTGGTTGCGAGATAATTAGCTCTCTCTCACCTGGCACCGAGCTGGTGGTTGGGCCGGCTCCACCACCAGCCTCGCTGCCGCCACCCACGCTTCCGTCGCTCGCTGCCTCCTCGACCTGCCCCAGGCTGGAGCCGGCACGCAAACTCGACTGATTTTCAACGGCGATCATCGGCGCAAGGCCGCCACTTTCTGCCTTCTCTCTCTCTCTCTCTCTCTCTCTTTTCCTCTTTCTCTCTCTCCGCCTTTTTCACCGACGATCCTGTGGAAGANTCTCTCTCTCTCTCTCTCTCTCTCTCTCTCTCTCTCTCTCTCTCTCTCTCTCTTCCTCTTTCTCTCTCTCCGCCTTTTTCACCGACGATCCTGTGGAAGAAAAAAAAGAAACATTTTTCCCAATTTCTTTTTTTTTTTAGAATGTGCTTTCAAATTAATGGACTATAGAATCCATTAATAGAAGGAAGAAAAAAAGAAATGTTTTTCTTTCATCCCAATTTCTTTTTTTTTTTT